AATTTTGACACATGCTCTGGGCAAGCTTGCGTCAATTTTGAAAGCATGTCTGCATCAGCGTTTTCCGACCGGGGTATCCTAGTCAGACGAAACTCTTCTAATTCCCTTAGAAGCGCTCGGACCAGATCACTATACCGGGCCAGGCGATCCTCTTTTACCTCCATCTCACCATTGACCTGTCCGACTACTAGACTTGAGTCGGAACGGATCTTCATCCTTTTTATTCCGAGTGTACGGGCTAATCTGAGGCCACCGGCCAACGCCTCATACTCCGCCTCATTGTTGGTGAGCTTGAAGTTGAAAATCAGGGCATGGTAGATCTTGAATCCCTCCGGGGTAGTGAAGACTACGCCGGCACCGCATCCCTTCGGTCTAGAGGCCCCATCAACGGCCATATCCCACCACGGTTCGACCGTATGGGAAGGTCCGGCTTTGGGCTCCAGACCGGTTAGTTCAACGAGGAAGTCTGCCAAAGCTTGACCCTTAATCGCAGTCCTTGGTTTATACTCTATTTTGAACTGAGTGAGCATCATCGCCCACTTGATCAACCTTCCCGAGGAGGTTGAATTTCGAAGGATCGGTCCACGCGGCTGATCGGTCAGTACTTCCACAGTATGAGCTTGGAAGTATGCGGTCAGTTTTTTGGCCGTTATGAAAAGCGCGTATGCCGTTTTCTCAATGGCAGTATACCGGCTTTCAGCCCCATTCAGTGCTTTGCTCACATAGTAAATAGGCCTCTGGCCGTCTTCATTTCTTATTAAAATAGAGCTTACAGCGTTTTGGGAAATCCCCAGATACAAGTACAAAATCTCACCCGGTTTGGATTTTGACAAAACAATATCTGACACTAAGTACTCCTTCAGCTGCTGGAAGGCTTCTCGCACTCCCGGTCCCACTCGAATGTATTAGCCTTCTTCAGAACCTTGAAGAAAGGCAGAGCCCTCTCAGCAGACCGGGAGAGAAAACGACTCAAGGCTGCCAACCGCCCGGTAAGTCGTTGTACGTCCTTCAGCGAACTGGGCGACCTCATTTCAGTTATGGCCTTGATCTTCTCCGGATTAGGCTCAATTCCACGCTTGGTCACCATGAACCCCAGAAACTTACCGGTCTTTACAGCAAAGACGCATTTCTTGGGGTTGAGACGCAAGTTGTACCTAGCCATAATCTCGAAGCAGAGCCTCATGT